AGTGACAGACTCACAACTAGAATCATACTGAATGGGGAAAAACTGAAAGCCTTTCCTCTAAGTTCTGGAACACAACGAGGATGCCCACTGTCACCACTGTTATTCAACATAGTACTGGAAGTCCTAGCTAGAGAAATCAGACAAGAGAAAGATATAAATAGCATCCAAATTAGGAAAGAAGAATTCAAATGATCATTGTTGGCAAATGATATGATCTTATATTTGGGAAAACCTGAAGACTACACAAGAAAACTATTAGAACTAATAAATTCAGTGAAGTTGCTGGATACAAAATCAGCATACAAAAATCGGTAACATTTCTATATGCCAACAGTGAACAATGTGAAAAGAAATTTTACAAGTAATCCCATTTACAATAGCCACACATAAAACCATATGATCATTCCAAAAATACTAAAATGCATAGGAATTAACCAAAATTAAATACCTGGGAATTAGCCAAAGAAGTGAAAGATCTCTATAATGAAAACCATAAAACACTGATGAAAGAAATTGAAGAGGACACAAAAAAATCAACCAAGAGTTTTGAGTGTTCTGTTGTTCAGAAGAGGGAACTAAGCTGCTCATGCCCTTTTGCCTCACTCTTCCCACCTTCTGATTCTAAGAGTGGCACATCTGAGAGCCTACTAGCCTTCAGGGAAACCAAGACCTAGAATCACTTCTGCTCAAATCCCAAAGCCCAAAGCCAGAAGCCAGTTCCCACAAAGCCAAAAGAAGACAAGGCAACAGACATACATAAGCATACTTACTGATGCTCACAGTGATGCCATTTAAAACTTTGTACTGCTTTCCTGAGTGTGTCAGTATGACTTGACACGCGTAGTTCCCTCTGTCCTCTGCTGAGACATTGCTCACCAAAAGCCTGGTTTCCAAAACAGTGAACCGCTCCCCTGTAATCTCGTTACAGTCCTAATACAAATAAAAACAAAATTCAATTCAATGAATACTTAGAAACCTGTGTGATCCCTAGAATTTAGGTAATTTACAATCTAACTGAAAGACAACAGATAGCTAGCTAGCTAGGTAAATAGAAAAATAGGTAGATGACAGATGAGTGATAGACAGACAGACACAGCAGAATTCCTTGCCCAGTCTGTATATAATGTGTATATATATGTGTATGTGTGTATAGATATACAGAGATTTGACAAAGGATATTTTACAGGCTGAAGTAAATGATACAAACATTAAGTCTAGCAGGAGTTGAGAGGAGAGTGGCCTATGTGAGATGGAAGGAAGACTTCATTGAGGAAAACTGAGCCTGGGTCAGTTTTTCACAGGAGGACATGAACAGGCAGGAACGTCCTCCACCTTCAGGGGCCCACATCTGCCAGTGGACTCCCACTTAATGGCCCAAGTCCCTCTGCCAAGACTGGAAACCCGAGTTCATAATGACTGCTCCCACTGCGGGCCCAATTTCTGCACTTATCAAGCATTGGACTTTATAGAAATCCAAAATAATTCTTCGCCAACATCCCATTTGAAGGTCTGAACAGTGAGCAAAGGAAGTTGGCCAGGTTTATGGAGGGCAGATGTCACATCACTTCTCCCGCTTTCCCCACCTCCTCCATGGACAAGGCAACAACCTCACACCCAACCAACCAGAAGACCAGTGAGTCTCAGGAATGCTTTCTCTCCCAGCAACCACCCAGAGGGCAAGCCTCACCATTCCTCTGTCCTGTCCTAGGCTCACATTCTCATGCTAATCACCACTTCTTTTATACCTTGGGCCCACTTCTGAATTCTCCCACACCTGTTCCCTGTCCTTCAAGAAGCTGCACTCCACAGAGTGACTGCTTAGCTAAGTGGTCCATTTGTTCATTCAAACATTTGAGTTCCTGCAGTTTGCTTGCACTGTGACAGGCCTGGCCATGCAGGACTAACATGCAATCCCTCTCTTCAGGAAGTACACAATCTAAAAGATAAAACCAACATGGAAACCCCTAATTAAATAAATATTCACCTGCCCAAGTGTTAAGCTCTCTCCTCACTTAGGCACGGTTCAGAGTCACACTTCACTCTCCACCCCTGGAACAGCATGAATAGAGCCGCCCAGCAGGATGCAGTAAATAATTAATGCCAAACAAGCACTGGTTTATTTATAATGTGAAATACTACTTCCTAGAAGGCTTACATTATTTCCCTGTAAATACCTGATATGGGGAACCAACTCATAATCTGACAACTGCTTATCAAACAAAATGGGAGTTACTAATCAGAGTTAGATGTATAAAGGCATCAGACTCTGATACTGTGGTGTCTCCTTCTTTAGGATACAGACAAGCCCTTTTTTTATTGTTTTTTGTTTTGTTTTGTTTTGTTTTTGTGAGACAGAGTCTTAGCTCTGCTGCCCACTTCCTGAGCTCAGGGGATCCTCCCACTCCAGTCTCCTGAATAGCTGAGACTATAGGTATGCATCACCACACCCTAATTTTTTGTTATTTTAGTACAGACAAGGTTTCACCATGAAGCCTAGGCCGGTCTCAAACACCTGGGCTCAAGGAGTCTGCCCACCTCAGCCTTCCAAAGTGTAGGATTACAGGCGTAAACCACTGCACTCAGCCCGAACAAAGCACGAAGTCTAGTCCTGGCACTTCATAAGCCTCTTCCCTGGACAGTCTTCCCTGGAGAGTCGCTGGCTAGGTATAATCTCTGGGCCTCCCTTTCTGTGCTTTCACAGTTGAGCAGTCCTCTTTCTGAAGGATGCATTTTTTCTTTCAAGATACACGTATTTTAATCATCTTAAAGTTCAGCCTTGCAGCTGAAGGCCATTCTGTCGCTTTGCTATAACTTGAACTGCCTCTATTCTGATCCACTGGAGCATTATTTCAAAGGTTAAACTCTCAACGAGCTTGGATTTACATTTAAAATCTTTAGGGTAATGTCTCACTGACAAGATTTAAAATTAAAATATTAAGAACAATAGTGTCCACTCTTGAATACCTTATATATTCCAGGCATCGTGAAGAAAACTCCTGACCCGGGACGTACAATATTTCAGAAACACAAAATAACCTGAGAATTCTGACTAAGATGCAATGAGTATGAAGAGTGATGGAGATAAAACTGGTGAGGTAGTCAGGAGCCCTGTCACAGAAAACCATGAAAAGGAGACGAGCATCAGAAGCCTTCAGAGCAAGAGAATAAGACAATCAGATTTTCTTTTGAGAAACATCCTTTAGTTGCTGTGTAGTTTAAAGGATTACAATAATGCAATGCTAAAGACCATTTAGATTTTATTTCCATAAACTGAGGCCAAATGGAACCTAAACTAAAGCAGGGAAGTGAGGATAGCAAGTAAAAAACAAAACAAAACAATGATTTTAAGCAGTTCCAGTCCACTGAATGTAGTGACAAATGTGGGATACACAGAGGGAGCGGGACTTTTACAGTCCTAGCTTGGGTATGCAAAGGTGTTACTAGGAAGAAGAAAGAATGCAAAGAAATGGAGAAAATGGTTCTATTTGGGGTAAGATTAAAAAACAGCTCTAACCGTGGTGCATGAGGTGAGTGGTGGGGATGGGAGGGTCTAAGGAGAATGTATATTAGACGGTTGGACAAAGGAAACCAGAGGGTGGAAGAAAGGTCCAAGTGGAAGAGAACTGGGAGCCATACGGAGAATATAGAGTGAAATGGATGGTTCTATAAATCATCCATTTGAATGTAAGCAAAAGTGAGCGCAGAAGATCACCACGGCTGAAACTATGGGGAACCTCAAATCCTAAGACCCAACTATAGAGGAAAAAAACTCAGTGATGATTACAAAGGAAGCGCCAGAAAAAATAAAAATAATAATTAAAAAAAAGATAAACAGAGACAAAGAATGAGTAAGTCTTGGAAGAAAATGAGAAAAGAGTTTCCAGCTGATGGGAGTGCCCAGCAATGTTGAATGCCACAATCAGGTTGAAAATGAATGTCACTTTAGCAACTGGAGAGCCTGAAGTAACTTTAGCAAGTCCAGACTGAGCACAGTGATGGGGCCCCAAACCACTGTGCTGAGGAGTAATTTGGGATTGAAACGAAAACAAAACTGGAGACATTACCACTTTTCCAGGTGTAGACAGATGTCTCAATACCCTAACCTTGTCCTCTGTAAGCTCTTCAACTTCAAAGACTTCCTGGGGACTTCTCTCAGTTTTCAATTCTCCCAGACATAAGCCAGGATTATCATAGGGATTTGCCATTATCCAGAACCATTATCCATCACTTCAATCACTTCAATCATTTCCTTTCCAATACCTCAACTCTGTAGCCCTCCATCCTTCCAGCATCTTCACCTGCAAAGCCCCCATTCTGATGAATCCCTTCATCCCTCTCCTACACACCTCCAACCAGAGAGCAGAGCACTATAGGAGCTAATCACATATACAGGCGTCTTGGTACCACTACAAATTCATGGTCTTCACCTTAGCAACTCTTTGCATCTCCATCTATTTACCTACATTACTCTTTCAAATTTTCCCCATAACATATCCTTACAATTATAAAAATTAGGAGCCCTCAGACATGAGTTCCCCCACTTCCTCTCCTCCTCCTTTTCCCTCATTGTATCAGTTCTACTTTAGAACTTTCTGAAATGAACCACACTTCTTAACTTGATTTCTAGGATAGTCCAAATGATCAGCATGCCACCATTCTCAAGGCCTTCCAGTGGATTCACTACAGCCCCTACGGAAGGACTTTTCTCAAATGCGAATTTGCTCATGCCATTCTCCAGATGGTAGGATTCACTGTGGAAATGCTTTAGGTTGGCATAAACAGTGTTTATTTTCTAGCACCATCTTTCTACATGTGCCCTAAACTCTAACCAGGGCCCCCAAACACCATTCTCTTTCTCACCCAACACCTTTGCACCTGCTGCTTCCCTCTAATTACTGACCTTCCTTGCTGTACCCACCAGGCTAACTGTGGTCACTCTTCAAGGACAGTTCAAAGTCACCTTTTCTGGGAAGCATAGCCACGGACATTCCCAGGGTCTGCTCTGATTTCGCTTTCTGTATGTTCACCTCATGCTGTAATAAAATTCGTAGTTTACTTGTCTGCTTCCTCTGATAAATTGTAACTTCTTTGAAGACATATGACATCCCTTGGCACAGCACCAAGAAGATCACAGATTCCAAATACTTGAAGAATTGATTCCAACCCTCTGGTTTTACAGATGACAACACTGAGGCCCAAAGAGTGAGTCCAGGTCTGAGCACCTGGTAGTGGCAAAAACAGCCACACCTGGGTCACCAAAACTGAGCAGGTGGTATAGTATCAGGTGACCCCTCCCGCTTACACTGCTGGTCCCCAGCTTTTGCCTACTTTTGCAAGCCCAGGGGTTGTTTTTAAAATAAAGGCACCTAAGCCCCACCCATGGGTGACCTGCTTCAGTTAGTAGAGGGTGAGGCTGACTATCTAGATTTTTAAAAGGTCCAGAGGATCAACTCTGATATTTACTTAGGATTGCTAGTCACAGCTCTGAGGCCATCTCCAAGTGCTGCAGAAACAGAAGTTAGAATAACCAAGGCAACATTTCAGATAAAGGAAAAGCAGAGGACTTATACAAAACTTACAAGACTTATCTAATGCCATAATAATTAATAAGGATAAAGACTCGGTGTGGTGGCTCACACCTGTAATCCCAGTACTTTGGGAGGCTGAGACAAGTGGATCATCTGAGGTCAGGAGTTCGAGACCAGCCTGGCCAACATGGTGAAACCCCGTCTCTGGTAAAAATACCAAAAATTAGCCAGGCGTGGTGGCGTGTGCCTATAATCCCAACTACTCTGGAGGCTGAGGCAGGAGAATTGCTTGAACCCAGGAGGCAGAGGTTGCAGTGAGTCAAGACTACGCCACTGCCCTCTAGCCTAGGAGACATAGTGAGACTCTGTCCGAAAGAAAGAAAGAAAGGAAGGAAGGAAGGAA